TTTCTGTGGCTGACAGCGACACATCAGAATGGTGTGTTGCCTCCCTGGTGCCAGGATCAAGGATATCTCAGAGAAGATACAGAATATTTGGGCAGCACGGTGGCTCAGTGGCTAGCACTGCTACCTCACAGTGCCAAGGACCCGGGTTCGATTCCACCCTCAGGCGACTGTCTGTGCAGAGTTTGCACATTCTCCCTGTGCCTGCATGGGTTTCCTCCGGGTACTCCGGTTTCCTCCCACAGTCCAAAGATGTGCAGTGTAGGTGGATTGGCCATGCTAAATTGTCTGTAGTATTCAGGGATGTGTAGATTGGGTGGGTTGAGGGGGATGCTCTGAGGGTCGGTGTGGACTTGTTGGCTGAAGAGCCTGTTTCTACACTGTAGGGATTCTATGAATATTGTCATAGGGAAGAGGGACCAGCAGGAGGTGGTTGTACACAATATAGGAAGAGAAAAGGATGAGGTTCTCAGGAGACAATACAGGAAGTTAGGCAGAAATTTAAAAAGGAGGTCCTGGAGGTAGTAATATCTGGATTATTCCTGTGCCAGGAACTAGTGAGGGTAGGAATAGGAGGAAAGAGCAGATGAATGTGTGGCTGAGGAGCTGGTGTAGGGGAGAAGGATTCACATTTTTTGGATCATTGGAACCTCTTCTGGGGTAGAAGTGATCTGTATAAGGATGGGCGGATTGCACCTGAATTGGACAGGGACTGATATACTAACAGGGAGATTTGCTATAGCTGCCTGGGAGAATTTCAAATAGTAAGTTGGTGGCTGGGAGGTGATAGTGAGGAAAGGGATCAGTCTGAGGCTGAGAAAAGAAGTAAGTCAAACAGTCAGGGCAGGCAGGAACAAAGCAGAGAATGAGGTGGGACTGATAAATTAAACTGCGTTTATTTCAATGCAAGTGGCCTAACAGATAAGACAGATGAACTCAGGGTGTGGTTGGAAACATGGGACTGGGATATCATAGAAATTATTGAGATGTGGCTCAGAGATTCACAGGACTGGCAGCTTAATGTTCCAAGGTGTAGATGCTATAGGAAGGATAGAAAGGGGGAGCAAGAGAGGAGGGGGAGTGATGTTCTTGATTAAGCATAACGTTATGGCTGTACTTAGAGAGGATATTCCTGGGAATACATCCAGGGAAGTTATTTGGGTGGAACTGAAAAATAAGAAAGGGATCATCACCTTACTGGGATTGTACTGTAGACCCCCAATAGTCAGTGGGAAATTGAGAAACGAATTTGCAAGTAGATCTCAGTTATCTGTAAGAATAATGGGATGGTTATGGTATGGGATTTTAACTTTCCAGACATAGACTGGGACTGCCATAGTATGAGCGGCTTGGATGGAGAGGACTTTGTTAAGTGTGTACAAGAAAATTTTCTGATTAAGTTTGTGGATGTACCCAATACAGAAGGTGCAAATCCTGACTTACTCTTGGGAAATAAGGCAGGGCAGGAGACTGAGGTGTCAGTGGGATAGCAGTTTGGGGCCAGTGACCGTAATTCCATTAGTTTTAAAATAGTGATGGAAAATGATAGTACGGATTTAAAAGTTAAAGTTCTAACTTGGAGGAAGACTAGTTCTGACAGTATTAGGCAAAACTTTCAAAAGTTGATTGGGGGGCAGGTGGATGTTCACAGGTAAATGGACGGCTAGAAAGTGGGAAGCCTTCAAAAATGAGATGACGAGAGTCCAGAGACAGTATGTTCCTATTAGGCTGAAGGTACGTTTAGGGAATGCTGGATGACTAGAGAAATTGAGGTTTTGGTCAACAATAAGAAAGAAGTATATGTCAGGTATATACAGCAGAGATTGACTAAATCCCTAGAGGAGTATAAAGGCAGTAGGAGTACACGTAAGAGGGAAATCAGGAGGGCCAAAAGGGGACATAAGATAGCTTTGGCAAATAGGGTTAAGGAGAATCCAAAGGGATTCTACAAATACATTAAGGACAAAAGGGTAACTGGGGAGAGAATAGGGCCCCTTAAATGACAGCAAGGCCGCCTATGTGTGGAACCACGAGATGGGTAAGATACTAAACGAGTATTTTGCTTCAGTTTTTACTGTGGAGAAGGATATGAGAATAGAGAAGATGGGGAAATAAATAGCGACATCTTGGAAAATGTCCATATTACAGAGGAGGAGGTGCTGGACGTCTCAAAACGCATGAAGGTGGATAAATCCCTGGGACCAGATCAGGTGTACCCTAGAACTTTATGAAGCTAGGGAAGTGATTGCTGGGCCCTTTGCTGAGATATTTGTTTGATAGCCATAGGTGAGGTGGCAGAAGAATGGAGATTGGCTAATGTGATGCCATATTTAAAAAAAGGGTATGGAAAAGGCAGGGAACTATAGGCGGTGAGCCTGACATCAGTGGTGGGCAAGTTGTTGGAGGGAATCCTGAGGGACAGGATTTATATGTATTTGGAAAGGCAAGGACTCATTAGAGATAGTCAACATGGCTTTGTGTGTGGGAAATCGTGTTTCACTTGACTGAGTTTTTTAAAGAAGTACCAAAGAGGATTGATGAGGGCAGAGTGATGGACATGATCTGTATGGACTTCAATAAGACATTCGACAACATTCCTCATGATAGAGTGGGAGACATTAAGGACTGTAGGTGCTGGAAGCCTGTGTCTCCAGGTGTGAGGCTGGAAAAGCACAGCAGGTCAGACAGTATCAGAGGAGCAGGGAAATAAACGTTTTGGACCTCACACCTATCAGCTCTTCCTCATGGTAAACTGGTTAGCAAGGTTAGATCACATAGAATGCAGGGATTACTAGCTATTTGGATATAGAACTGGCTCAAGGTAGAAGACAGAGTGGTGGTGAAGGGTTGCTTTTCAGACTGGAGGCCTGTGACCAGCGGTGTGCCACAGGGTTCAGTGCTGGGTCCACTGCTTTTCGTCATTTGTATAAATGATTTGGATATGAAAATAGGAGGTATGGGTAGTAAATTTGCAGATTACACCAAAATTGGAGGTTTAGTGGACAGCAAAGAAGGTTACCTCAGAATACAAAGGGATCTTGATCAGATGGACCAATGGGCGGAGGCGTGGCAGATGGAGTTTAACTTAGATCAATGTGAGGTGCTGCATTTTGGAAAGGCAAATCAGGGCAGGACTTATACACTTAAAGGTGGGGTCCTCGGGAGTGTTGCTAAACAAAGAGAGCTTGGAGTGCAGGTTCATAGTTTCCTTGAAAGTGGAGTCACAGGTAGATAGGATAGTGAAGAAGGTGTTTGGTATGCTTGCATACATTGGTCAGTGCATTGAGTACAGGAGTTGAGAGGTCACATTGTGGCTGCACAGGATATTGGTTAGGCCACTTTTGGAATACTGCGTTCAGTTCTGGTCTCCCTGCCACCGGAAGGATGTTGTGAAACTTGTAAGTGTTCAGAAAAGGTTTACAAGGATGTTGCCAGGGCCAGAGGGTTTAAGCTATAGGGAGAGGCTGAATTGACTGGGGCTATTTTCCCTGGAAGCATCAGAGCCTGAGAGGTGACCTTCATAGAATCACGGAATCCCTACAGTGTGGGGACAGGCCCTTCAGCCCAAAAGTCCACACCAACCCTCAGAGCATCCCACCCAGATCCACCCCCCCTCCAAATCTACACATCGCTGAACACATGGCCAATCCCCTAGCCTGCACGTCATTGGACTGTGGGAGGAAACCGGAGCACCACCACACGGACATGGGGAGAACGTGCAAACTCCACACAGACAATTGCCTGAGGGCAGAATCGAACTCGGGTCCCTGGTGCTGTGAGGCAGCAGTGCTAACCACTGAACCACCGTGCCGACCTTATGGAGGTTTATAAAATCATGAAGAGCGTGGATAGGGTAAATAGACAAGGTCTTTTCCCCAGAGTGGAGAATACAAAACTGGAGGGCATAGGTTTAAGGTGAGAGGAGATGATTTAAAAGAGACCTAAGAGGCAACTTTTTCATGCAGAGGGTGGTGCGTGTATGGATGAGCTGCCGGAGGCAGCGGTGATGGCAGGTACAATAACAACATTTAAAAGGCATCTGGATGGGTATATGAATAGGAAGGGTTTAGAGAGATATAAGCCAAATGCTGGCAAATGGGACTAGATTTATTTAGGGTATCTGGTCGGCATGGATGAGTTGGACCAAAAGGTCTGTTTCTGTACTATACATCTCTATAATTCTATAAATATGAATTTTATAAATCCTGGTACACAGCAACTGAAATAGTGCTCTTCTTCACCCCTTTTCTCATGATCTGTTTTCAAAATATATTAGCATTATCAGTGAGTGAGTCACAATGATGATGTAAAGTAGCCCCTAACAAATCATTTGATTACAGTATTTCATAGGACTAACTAAAATAGCAATGTGGACTAAATGAACAGGGGAATTAGTTGTAGTCTTCACACTTGAAAACATTTTGTAAAGAAGATATTGTTAAATAATACAAATCAGATAAATATTTATCTGCTTAAGTGACTAGTTTAAGATGCTTTATAAATTTCATTGTGCAATTGTGAATTTGTACTTGTCTCTTATGTCTGGGTTGAGTGCATTTAAACTAGCATTAAGCTAAGTACAACTAAAGCTTAATTATTTAAAGTTACTTGAAATGCAATGTATTTCCTGAATCACCATCTACAGTACTCACTTGTATGTTTCTGGACTATTTTTACTGCAAATGAACCTTTTTAATAGTGCAAAGAATGAATCAGAGTGAACTTAAATTGCTGGTTGCTACTTGCAGGGAATTCAATCTTAAGGTGTTAGCATAAAACACAATAACATGCTACAGCATGGTGGTGGAAATCAGATGAACCCTTCTCTGTTTTGTAAATATTTGTAGATTTATTTAAATTTAGGCAATGCTCACAGCCCAAAATACCATTTTTCTTTCACCTTGCAGTGCTGCATATAACACACTCTTTAATTCTTCTAGTTTTCTTCAGTTCTTCTGAGATTAAATTGTTAGTGTAACTATGAATATCGTGTTTTATTTCAGGCAGGAAATAACATTAGCACAAGCAGATCTTGAGTCACTGCCTGATTTCAACACTCGAGCAAATTTCAATCTGCGGAGAATAGTGGAAGATCAGGTAATTTACTTCGCCAGTAAAGCTAGTTGAGAGTAATTATAAGTTACACTGGTATTCTTTTTGCTTCTAAGAAGCGGCATATTTTAATTGTGTCATGACAAGTTTTCTAACTGAACTGATGTTTGTTGGACCAACACAGTGCTGTGCTGATTGCTGCAATGTTATTCCTTGTAAGAAGACCATAACTTTTTTCTACCTGAATAGTTACCACATCAACAAATGATTTACGCAGATCTTATAGAGAAATGCTCCAAGGTTACCAAGGAAATATTGTAACATATCATCAGTCAACAATAGAGAACATGTAATTAATGAAATTACATTTAGATTGCAATATTTATACTCATGAAAAATTCATGATGCTTTGAATTTTTTTCTTTGATACCTTTGACTAACAATTAATCTTTCAATATTGAAACTTAAATTGACCCGCAATCAACAACTTTTTTGAGGAATGTATTCCAGATTTCTATATTTCCATTTTCTACTTTTTCCTTTTTAACCTGTCTGTGGCATGTGACTCAGTTGACGCGACTGCCCTCCTCAGATGTCTTTCCTCCATTGTCCATTTTGGTGGGTCTGTATGTGCCTTTCCCAATATGATCTGAATATAGCCAGGAAATGACCTGCTCTACAATAGTTTGCTGATGGCACTGACAACATGGGGTCCATTTGCGCACCATAACCTCTTATATTCCCCAAAGATCTTGGTCTCCTCCTATTTCTCAGCTATGTTCTACCTTGGCAACTTAATCCAAAAACACTTAGGATCCATATGGCAACATCCACTTCTGTCTCAGTACCAGCCCTCTCAACCTCATTCGAATCATTCCACTCTAAATTACTAGAATGTTCATCTGACATCCTGCGCAAAAGCAAAATACTTGGATGGTGGAAATCTGAGATAGAATAAGAAAATGTTGGAAATACTCAACAGGTCTGGCAGTATCTGTGGAGAGAGGGGCAAAATTAACATTTCAAGTTGATTATCTATTTTTGTCTTTTCTGTGGGGAAATAAAAGATTTGGAAGTCTCCTGGCATCACTGACTTCAAATATTATTCCAAATTCCGGTAAAGTTTCATTAAAAAATGGGCTCTATCAGCACTCAAAATGCCTTCATTGTACACGACATGCTGTTCTTTGGCATTTGCCTTGTGTTTTCAGCCAGAACCCATTGAACAGGTGCAGGAATGTCTTTGCCAAAGGGATAGACCCAGGGATTCATGTGAGTCACTATGTCTGATAATTTCTATTGTTATCCAAAGTAGGATGAGTTGGGGTATTTTGCAAGCCCTATACAAGTGTAGTTATTAGTCGTTACTACCTTTTGACTAAACTCAGCACTGGCTGATATGATGTTCAGCCTGAGATCCCATGTTACTCAAACTACTTTAAAAATACTTTGCATATTTTAGAACTAAAACTTAGTAGTTTGGTTTTCTGCTTTGTTTCCATGCTTTCTGAGCTGCGTCTTGTGACATTGTTTATGAGGAAAGGTTGGAGAGGCTGCACCTGTATTCATTGGAGTTTAGAAGAATGAAAGGTGATCTTTGTTGGATAATGATGTAAGGGTCTGAAAATGTTAAATCTGCGGAATACTTTAAAGACCACACACAATGAGGTCATAAGGTGGGAGAACAGCTCAGGGTTTAAAGGAGTGAGATCTAACATCTTGGTCTTCCCCATAATCTTTATAATAATATCAATCACATCAGCAAAGCTTGTACTTTGTTGCTAACATGCAATGGACTACATCTTGTCTAAGATCAGAGCCTCTTCTCATCAGACTACCAAATGATTTTCCTGTTCAGCCTGGACCAAGTTGTAGGTCCCCATCAGGAAAGAGGATAATAGCAGAGAATCTACCCGATAACTCCGACAATGTGATGAGCAGCGAAGAGGATTCATCTTACCACATGGTAGCAAGTAGTACAGATTCTATTTAACTGCCTCCTACAATGCTGACAGCACTGGAGATCTGAAGATTTCTCCAGACACAGATTTAAGAAATTTGTCCATGCAATCAGCAGCTGTAAGGTTTCAGACCTAAGAGAAGCACAACAGCAGGAGTGACATCAAGTGCCAATAATTTGTTGGAGTGATGCCAAGTCAAGGTTCACATGGAGAGCAGATATCAGCGGCTCTGTGAGTAAAGTTAAAATCCCTGGCGGGAAAGGGGAAAGTGCTCAGTTTACCGGCTGGAAAAGCAAGAGATAAACAAGGTACTTGTAAATCAGATTGATCATGACCGTCATTGTGAGTGTTCACCATGAATCATATTGACAGTAAACGAAATCAAGGGCCACATAAATACTTTAAAACAAGGTTTCAAACCTGGGAAGGTTGCAAAGCCCCAGTTAAAGTGATAAAGGTGAAATCTATATAGCTAAGCAGAGGAAATGTGATGGAAGAAAGTTAAGACACTATTGAGGCCACAAAAAGGCAGGAAATCTGTTCCTTAAACTGACTGGAACTCATCCAGGAAAAAGCCATGAAAGCAACGTATTATTATTTAGAGCTGCAGACAGCAGAAATCATATAGGAAAAGCCATTAAAGGAAAGGAATTCATCTTGTAGAGCTGCAGAGAGTGGTATTCATTTGATAAAGCCCTTAAGGTAACAAGAATTGTTATTAAAGCTACAGGTAGTGGGATTCATTCAGTAAAACTGTTAAGGAAACTGAAGAATTAATCTAAAGAAACTGTGAAAAAGGTGGGCATAACCTATTTTACTCACAACAAGATGAGAATAATTAATTTTATTCACAAAAAGGAGGAATCTGTCATGTTGTCCATAAAAATGCCAGGAAAACTTCTGAGAGCATTAACCAGCATCACCATTGCTATACTGCAAAATAGAAAACCTTTGAAGCAAGTAAAATAAATATTCACATTGGTAATACATGACAACAGAAATAATATTGTCAGGAAGATATAATATCAGAAAAGGACCTAATATAACACAGAATAGGAGGTCTTGGAAACAACAATTCTGAAAATGCAAGCGTGGTTCCATCCTAGATCCTACATCAGAAGCTGAACAGTTAAGTACATTCTTGTATACATTTAGGAATATAGCTGATGATGTAGCTCTCCAATGTATAAAAGAAGCCACAGCTACTTTCAATGAATTCTGAAAGCCTTTGACAATTGCTTTAATCTTAGAACAAATAAAATTTTTGAAAGAACAAGATTTAATAGAAGTAAGCATATGAGGAACCCATAGATCATTTCATTACTTATCTCTGCATGTTATTAGAAAAATGTGACCACAGTTAGTAGATCGCACAGACCAAACATTTTTAACAAGAGTACATTTATGTCACTAATTTCATCTCACCAATTTTAAGATCAGTAAAAGGACAAATGCCACTATGTTGTTACCATGGTTGAAAAAAACAGTTTACAGCATGCAGGAGTGTAACTTCATGATCCAGGGATGATAGCATTTAAGGGTATGGGGCAAGCAACTTGGCAGCACAAAGAGTGTCAGAGAGTAGAGAACATATATTTACTTCACAATAAAGAATTCTCACTTCTGAGCATATTTTGACCTGAATCTTTCAAATGGCGGAAGGAATCAAACTAATTAAAGTCAAGAAATCACTGTCAAGGAACAGCCAGTAATGAAACAACTGGTCGTGAGGATCAATGCTTAAGAAAGTTAAAATTGCAAGAATCAGCAAGATTTCCAATGTACACAATCAGACAGCCAATGAGCAACATACCCACTTACACATTAACTGAAGAAACTTGAACTGATGTAATTCAGAGCATGGCACAGCTTTATAAACAAATGTTTATGACAGATTTAAGTCTGATATCACATGCTAAAGTGATTCAGAAGACGCAAGTTTAAATAGAAAATTTCATTTTCTTCTCAGAAAGAAGCTTCAGTACCAATGAAGAGATCATGCCAAGCAAGGAGCAACCATCAAGTAATATGACTGTTAGTTTCACCAATACTAGAATCACTGACAGAAAATGAAAGTATCCAAGCTAAGAAACCTTTCAGCGCAGTTTTACTGTTAGATTGAAAATAAGAAGCTGTTCACACAGGTTGAAGATGTAGTGCATAAAACTTCATTGAAGCCACCATTGAGACTGGAAGACTAATTTCAACAAATTCTGGGCATAATCAAGAAGAAATTTCCTGGCTCGAAGACCCATGGTACTGTCATAAAGATAGAAATGCCTTGTACAAAGATGTCAGATGCTGCAAACAAACGACTGCTTCTTTCAACTGGACAGACCAAAGCACCTTCAGTTTAAAGGGACCTACAGACCTCACTCTGTCAGGAACAGAAGCAAAGTTAATAGGCTTTAGTCCAGAGGCCTGCCAGTTTTCCAGTAGACCATAAAGACCATTTAAAAAAAGCAACACAAGTAGATTGTTTGCCACCTCGAGCCTGCTCCTCCATTCAACAGGATCATGGCTGATCCGATATTTCATGCATTTTTCTGCATTTTCCCTGTAACCTTTGATTTCCCGACTGATCAGGAATCTATCTCAGCCTTAAGTATGCATAAGGACTCTGCCCCCACTGGTCTCTGTAGTAAGGAGTTCCAAAGACTTTCAAGAAGAAAATCCTCCTCAGTCTTAAATTACCATTCCTTTATGCTGAGACTATGTCTCTGGTCCTAGACTCTCTCCAAGAGGAAATATTCTTTCGGCATTTACCATCAAACCCCTTAAGAATCCTATATGTTTCAGTTAGATCATCTCTCATTCTTCTAAACTCCAATGAGCACCCTGCCAAGATCTTCCCCACGCCTCCACTTCTCACCTGCAAACAACCATCAAACCTTAAACAGACTATTGTTCACAGCAAACTACCCAGCCTCCAGGACAACATCAACCATAACATCAGACAACGCTGTCATGGTAACCTCTGCAAGACATGTCAAATCTTTGACATGGACACTATCATCACACATAGGAACACCACCCATCACATGCACGGCAGATATTCATGTGACTTGGGCAACGTTGTCTATCTCATACACTGCAGGCAAGGATGCCCCGAGACATGGTACATTGGCGAAACCATACAGACGCTATGACAACGGAAGAATGGACACTACGCAACAATCGTCAAGCAGGAATGTTCCCTCCCAGTGGGGGAGCACTTCAGTGGCCAAGGACTTGGATCTTCAGGTAAATGTCCTCCAAAGTGGACTTCAGGATACACAACAACGCAGAGTCACTGAGCAGAGGCTGATAGCCATGTTCAGTACCCATGAGGACGGCCTCAACCAGGATTTTGTGTACATGTCGCAGTACAGGTGACTCAATCACACTATACACTCTCACACACACACATATACTCTTCCCCCCTCACATGCACTCACACACACACTCTCTCTTCCCCACCCCTCACACACATACACTCTCTTACTCCCCCCCAACACACAGACACTCTCTCTCTCTCTCCCACTCTCTCTCTCTCTCTCTCCCACACACACACACACACACACACACACACACACCCACACACACACACACACACACACACTCTCTCTCTCTCTCTCCCCCCATCACACACACGCACACACTCTCACCCTCTCTTTCTCTCCCTCCTCTCTCTATCTCTCACACACACACACTCACACACATTCTGTCTCCCCTCCCTCACACACACACTCTCTCCCCCCTCACTCATACACTTATGGGGTGAATTTATACTTTCAGATATATTTTATTTTGTTCAAAAAGCACACAGTTTATATACAGTCTATATGGTGTTTTATAAATTTCTACTTTAGAAAGAAAACCAGCCTGACTCCAAACTGAAACACAAACAGATTCTGAACAAGGCCTCACACCTAACATGCATTGTCTGACCTAAAATGTCACCTCTTCTTTGCACTATTAAAACGTTTAGGTCTCTGAGGACCGTGACTTGAAAGGAATTTGGGGATTTACATGTATATATTAATCAATTAAAACCTTCTAAATGATTAAAGATTTAACAGAGGTATGTTTAGTACATCCTTATCAATGGAGTGAACCTTTGATCTTTTACTTATAAATTCTGTGTCTGAAACTAACTCTCTCACTAGCACCTGAAGAAGGACTGAAGCTCCGAAAGCTTGTGTTTTCAAATAAACCTGTTGGACTATAACCTGGTGCTGTGTGATTTCTGACACAGTCCCAGACTGTTTACGAGACAATCATAAGACAATCTCTCCATACCAGAGATTATCCTGGTGAACCATCTCTGAACTGCCTTTAATGAAATGATACCTTTCCTTAAATCAGGGGATCGAAACCGCTCACAGTACTCCCGATGTGGTCTCACCAGCACCTTATGTAGTTACAGCAAGACTTTCCTAAACATACTCCAACCCCTTTGAAGTAAGGCCCAACATTCCATTATCCTTCCTGATTACCCACTGCACCTGCATACTAGCTTTCTGTGTTTTGTGCACAAGAACCCCCAAGTCTTTTTGTGTTGCAGCTTTCTGCAGTTTTTCTCCATTTAAATAATATCCTGTTCTTTTGTTCTACGTTTCAAAATTAACAACTTCGCATACAACAAGCTTGTGGGAAATTGTGGGGGGGGGTGAGGGGATGGTGGTGGGGGTGTGGGTGGTGTTGAGATTTTGTGCCAAGCCTATGAAAACATGCAAGATCCTAAGGGGACTTGAAGAGATGTTTCCCCTAGTGAGAAACGTCTGGAACTAGGGGACTCAGTTTAAAGATAAAGCCTGCCTTCTTTTATGTCGAGATAAGGAGACACTTTTTTCTCTGAAAGCCAAGAGTCCATGGAATTCTCTTCCCCTGGGAATATTAGAAATGGACTCATTGAATATTTCTCAAGCAGAGGTAGATAGATTCTTGATCAACAAGGGAATGAAAGAGTACTAGGGGTAGCAGGAAAGTAGAGTTTGGGCCATAATCAGATCAGCCATGATCTAATCGACTGATGGCACAGATTTGATGAGCAGCATAGCCTATATCTGCTCCTTATTTGTGTGTTTGTGAGTAATAGAAATGCATCTTTTTATTGTGGGCAATGTTGTTTACATTCTACCTCTCCAAGACAATATGAAACCCCTTTTGCTCATTTCTTTGTTCTACTATGATTTCTCAACAATTTACACTTTAACTTTTCTATGGTTAATAACTCATCACAAGAACCTCTTGAACATTTAGTGCAGCTCTTCCATACCATAACGAGGTTTGAGAGGGTCGTTCAATGAAATATGACAGTTCCATTCTAGTCCCACAAATATATTTTTGACTCAGAATAATACATGAAGATTAGACACAGTGAAGAATTCATGAACTCTTCAGATGCGTCAGATAGAAAAAGTTCAGCCAATCCATTAAGCCACTTCTTGATTGTTGTTATGCCTTCAGCATCAGGTCATGAGATTCTCTACCTCAGCGTCAGATAGTTGTAGCATATACCTACTTGCTGTCTGGTTTTATTAATAGAGAAAAAAATGATGGTAGAGTATATGTATATGGGTGGATGTACAGTATATAAACATCTGTAATTACTTTTTGACTGAACAGTTTGACTTCCTGTTGCTATATTTTGTTTCATATTTCTTATGTGAGCTCCTTTTCCCATTTAACAGGTCCAGCAAAATTGGGTTTAGCTTCTGTAATATATCATAATTCAGACTGTGCAATTTAACCCCAGGTTCCTACACACCACATATAATGTTTTCAAATGTAATTCACACATAAAGGTTTAAATAAATTCAGAAAATTACATACTCAAATTAACATCTTCATCTTTATCAATTTGTTTACATTTGCATTTCATCATACTTAAAAATATCTGCCACCTTTGATGTGTTTACTTTGTTCATTTGAAAGTGGAGAAAAGAGTTGCAAGCAGAAATGGAAAAGAAAGATAAAGAAAGGGAGCTGCAACTCCAGGAGAAACAGAAAATAGAAGCCGAAGATTTTAGTGAGACGATGAAGAGGAAAGAGGAAAAGCTTCACAAAAAGTCAACCCTATGTGAAATTCCATCTTAATGGAAAATTTCAAGGATAACAGTGCATCCAAACTATTCATGTCTACAACAGAGAAGCAACATCCCCTGGCAGGGGAGAAGTGCCTTGTATTGAAATACTCTTCTTAATTTCCTCTGTGGCATTGTCAGAATTTGTTAAAAGAAGACATTAGAAATGCAACTTTTATTCTTTTAAAAGCTATTACAAATGAATGCATTTTATGTCCTAATAAAAGACATATTGCTTTGCAGTAAACTAAGATCTTATAAAAAGTTATTCTTGAGTGTTTCTATGTCTGTTCCAGACAGCTGTACTACTGCTAAAAGATAAATCATCAAATTATTATTATTCTATTTGCCATTATTTTATATTGCTAGCTTATTTATTTTCACACAAGCTGTGACTTTGCCGTTGTAAACACTCCTCTTTAGATTAATGTCATAGTATGCCATTATGTATAAAAAAAATTAATTTAGACTCTGGTTGTGAGTGCCTCTGATAAGGCCAGAATTTATTGCCAGGAATCAGTAGTTGTCCCAAGAAGGTGGTGTTGCACCGCCTTCTCGAAACAACATTGCAGTTTGATACAACTGAGTGGCTTGCTAGATCCATTCAGTGGGCGCTTGGGAGTAAACGGTGTAGTTGAGCAACTGGGAGGCACACAAAGGTCAGATTAGGTAAGGGAGGTATGTTCCACTTTTTATAGGACATTGGTAAATTTGTTTTATCAAGATGTCTCTCAATCACATTTACTGATACCAACTTTTTATTTATAGTTTCCAATTGAATTTTAAAAAATTAAGGGCCATGGTATAATTTTAACTCACATTCTCTGAGTTATGATTCTATTCCTCTTGATTACTAAACTGATATAATTACCGCATTATCTTACTTATGGGTATTCAGTTATTTAATAATGTCAGGATGTGAAGAATGTTGAATTGATTGATTTCATGGATGCCTGGAGACAGTGGACCCCATAAATTGGCAGACACTGGAGCTTTTGAGGTAGAAAATTGTGGCAAGGTCTTCAGGGATTCAACCTTAGTTTTCTGTTGTTATGAATAGGAGACAAGAGAATATCAGCTTCCTTTTTAACTCCCTCTCTGTGGATCCAAGGATTATTTTTTTCTTCCATTTTTAGCCCATGGCTCTATCACTTCAATGAAAATGTTGTTTACCGAAAAATGAAGTAACTAATCACCAAGATTATTTTGATTAAAAGAAAGAGGAGTTTGATTGTCTACTAACCCTGTGAAAAAGAATAAATCCATGTGTTTCTCTCTACTCTGCTGCTCCATCATCCTTCCAAGTTGGCTAACAGGCAGGTGAACATATACTCTTCCAATATGTGAAATTATCACACAACTGTTAATTAAATAGGAGATTTAAAATTCCTTGAATGTTGAATCAGTTGCCAGGTTTCAAAACCTTTAGAGAAAAATGGTAGTTTCAGTGCAGTTGGCTTTGTTTATGGATCATGATCTTACGAAGCTTGCATCAGGGAATGGTCAGATGAGCACAGCAGCCATTTTAGGTCCATGGTTTTTCCTTCTTAAAAAAATTTCATCCATGAAAAGTCTCTGGTATAACAATCAGATGATAGAAGTTAAAAGTGTTTGTCCATTTTTCTTACTTCCATAACAATGTTGACAGACAATTTTATTTATTCACTCATGGGACATGGTGTCGCTGGCTGGGCAAGCATTTATGCTCGTCCCTAGTTACCCTTAGTGGTGAGCTGCCTTCTTGAAGTGCTCAGTTCACATGCTGTAGGTAGGCCCACAATGTGGTTAGGGAGGGAGTCCAGGATTTTGACCTAGCAACACTGAACGAATGGTGAGTAGCTTGGAGGAAGTCTTCCAAATGGTGGTGTTCCCATATATCTGCTGCCCTTGATCTTCTATATGGAAGTGGATTTGGAAGGTGCTGTCTAAGGAACCATGGTGAATTTTTGCGTTACATCTTATTGATGGTACACAGTGCTACTACTGAGTGTTGGTGGTGGAGGGAGTTAATGCTTGTGGATATGGTGCCAATCAAATGGCTACTTTGTCCTGGATAGTATCAAGCTTCTTGAATGTCATTGTTGCTGCAGTCATCCAGGCAAGTTGTGAGTATTCAATCATACTCCTGACTTGTGCCTTGTGGATAGTGGAAAGGATTTGGATGGTCAGGAGGTGAGTTACTCGCTACAGGATTCCTAACCTCTGAGCTGCTCTTCTAGCCATAGTATTTAAATGACTAATCTAGTTCAGTTTCTGGTCAACAATAACTCCCAGCACTTTGATAGTGGGAGATTTAATGGTGGGAATGCCATTTCAAAACCAAGAGGTTGTGGTTAAATTGTCCTTTATTGGAGATAGTCATTGCCTGGCCATGTTTTCTGTTGTGAATGTCAACCCAAGACTAGATATTGTCCAGGTCTTGCCACATTTAAACATGGCCAGTTTCAGTATCTGAGGAGTCACAAATGGTGCTGAACGTTGTGCAATCATTGGCAAACATCTTTGATGAATTAGCTAAAGATAGTTAAGTCTAGGATACTACCCTAAGGAACTCCTGCAGAGATGTCCTGGAGCTGAGATTACTGACCTCCAATAACCATAATCATCTTCTTAGATGCCAGACATGACTCCAAACAACAAAGAGTTTTACCCTGAATCCCACTGACTGCAGTTTTACTTGGGCTCTTTGATGCCACACTCAAGCACAGTCTTGATGTTACAGGCAGTCTCTCTCACCTCACAAATAACCGGGTATTGTTGTATTTTACAAATGTAATGTAAAACATTGACAAGTTGTCATTTCATTAACTAGTACTGTTTAGTAAATTGAAGGCAAAATCTCATTTTATGCTTCATAAGGTAAACCTAAGATCACTCTACTTTCACATGTAAGCATTGTCTTCTGATCAAGGCCATTTACTATTAATAAATTCCCATTAAAGACATTAAACATAATATATTATATTACTGTTATTTCATGCCACTATAGCATTTGGCAAATTATCACTTAAACAATGTCAAATGTCTTGACAAGGAAGAGGATAATTTTCTTTTACTATTTGCAAGTTAATGCCTATCATTGTCAAACTGAAATCATGAAGAAAGTGGGACAGCATTGTGGCTCAGTGGTTAGCACTGCTGCTTCACAGTGCCAGAGACCTGGGTTCAAACCAGCTTCAGGTGACTCTGTGAAGTTTGCATGTTCTTCCCTTGCCTGTGTGGGTTTCCTCTGGGTGCTCTGGTTTCCTCCCACAGTCTGAAGATGTGCAGGTTAGGTGGATTGGCTTTGCTGAATTGCCCATAGTGTCCAGGGATATGTAGGTTGGGTGAATCAGGTGTGGGCGGTGAGTCTGGGTGGGATGCTCTTCAGAGAGTCAGTGTGGACATATTGTGCCAAATGATCTGTTTCCGCACTGGGTATTCTATGAAAGTGAAGCTTTCAGTTATATTTAAACATGTCATTTTCAGTTACACTCTGTTTAACATTTGAGAGAAGAATTTTAAAACTACTCAGCAGAAGAAAGCTGCAGTTTGCCTCTTTAGCAGCTCAGAGCTTATAATAGCTCTCAAAATCGTACTTGTACAATCCCTAAAAGCACAAATGTTGCAATTTCTATAATGAACAGAAATATTATACAACTCCTGTAGCATTAACAATAACTTATGCAAAGGATTCATAGCATTCTGGCACTTGATTTATTCACCAGAACCATACAATATAGAGAAACTAGTGAAAATGTGGAACTCACTACCACGTGGAATGTTTGAAACATTTAAGGGAAGCATCGATCAAACCTGAGAAGGATATAGGGGGATATGAAAGACCATGTGGACAAAGATAGAAGAAGGCTAATGTGAAATCTAAACACCTATGTAATTTAGTTCAGGCAAAATGGCCAGTTTGTGTGCTTATACAGTTTTCTTCAGTTCCTAGCCTGAAAGCAGGTCTAACCCACCATGCCACATATCCACTTCAGATAGCACCAGGAGACCCGTCCTGAATCCAACCCAAATGGAGCAGACATTAGACTCCGATACAAACCAGCTGTCCAGCCAACTAGCCCCCAAGGAGTTTAAATTATTGAGGTAACATCCGTTTTTACATGCATGTTGTAACCTGGAGCTATGCATAGTGATGGCAGAGACTCCAATTCTTTCGATCTCATGGCTGATTAGGAATCTCTTCTTATCACCTGCCATTGTATGAGTTGGAAGGATTTGTAGGTTGATATTTAATCTATTTGGCTATGTTTTGAAGAGCCTTGCAAAGAAGCATGGCCTCCTCTCTCTTAGTGAATGACAATATAGTCTTTAAGAAAATCTGTTGAAGGTCTATCTTGGTGAAATATTTCTGAGAATCAGAGAAAGCTCCAGCAATTAATATTTCTGATCACCTCAGTTTTACAATCCCAACTAACAGACTGATATGTCATTTGAGAGATTGCATTTTGTTTTTCTTCATTTCATTAAGTATCTGATGAGCCACGATCGTGTTGAATGGTGGGGCAGGCTTGATGGGCTGAATGGCCTACTTCTGTACTTATGCTGCTAACCAGCCTCAGGTTTGACCTATTTTTCCTAATCAACCTGTTCAGAGATGTTATTACTCATCTCTTAAGAAGGTGGGACTTGAACCTGGGCCTCCCGGTCCATGGGTAGGAACACTACCACTGTGCTACAAGAGGGAGCTCTAAGCCTCAGGTTTGATATGATAGATCAAAAACTGATAAAACAGCAAACTGATGCAGAGTGCAGGATTTATCATTGTTGCTAGGTTGCAGGATGTGCTGAGAATTATTGCACACCAACTGCATACTTATTTAAATACGATGCTCACAGAGCTACATGTGTGCAGTCAATGATACTCGGTATGAATTCTTCTATTGCTTCAATTAATGAGTGTTAATTTTAAAAAGACCACTTTACTGTCTGGGTTTATGGTGTTTCAATATTTGCATAACCAATTGCAAATTCTCCAGATTAAGGAGGCATGGGATTCAGGGAAATTTGGCTGTCTGGATACAAAACTGGCTGTCCAATAGAAGACAGAGGGTGGTGTAAATGGAAAGTATTCAGCCTGGAGCTCGGTGACCAGTGGTGTTCTGCAAGGATCTGTTCTGGGACCTCTGCTCTTTGTGATCTTTATAAATGACTTGGATGAGGAAATGGAAGGGTGGGCTTGTAAGCTTGCCGATGACATGAAGCTTGGTGGAGTTGTGGACAGCGTGGTGGGCTGTTGTAGGTTGC